TCTCCAGACTCTATCCCTGCCGTCCGCGAATCTGAGGGTAAACCTGGATTCATCGCTAAAGACGACTTGATTCCAGTCTCTCTGGGTCCATCGGAGGTGACGTTGGGCCCACAGCAGACGTTGACGTTGATGAAACGGCGTCAATATTGGCCAACGATATGGACGTCGAGAATGGAGATTGGCAGCCCGCAACCGATTTCGAATGGTCTGTGAGGACAGTCGACCTCTAAACATCTCAGCCCTGGTTCGTGTAGCCGGCAGAAATCTGTCACGTAGGTGACGTAGGACGATTTGACGGTCTTCTGCTCGTGACGTCACACGTGGACGACCCGACCTTGGGCGATCAGAAGTGGTACCAGTTTGTTGTAGACGACCTCGCAAGTCATACACAGTACGACGGCTGCATCCCATTGCTCTTGCGACGTCAATAACTGATCTTCCCGCTTGCAACATGCCAACGGCACGTTCACGTTGCACATTTGACAATCGTGGCATTTCAAGTACCGTTAGAACTGTGGTTTAAAAGTGTTTTTTCAATTCTTGAGGCCAATGCAAACACGTGCATATGAAGAAAACTTCGATTCAAAGATCACGTGATCGACTGCACGTGCAAAACCTGATTTGGCACTAACGTCATTTGCACGACGAATGGATGGGTTTGAGTGGGTTTTGCTAACGTTTTTCTAGAGTCGAAAGATAGGGATCCCATTTCGGATACATAGATGTATCATCAGAGAAAAATTATTCATTATTTTTCAAATTACATTTTGTGAAGTTTCTTTTTTGACTCAGTATATTTACATTAGGGAGCTTATGAATATGTATGGTAGTAGTGTTGTGAAATTAATGACAACCTAATTTGTGATTTTGACACCAAAAACGAACAAATAACAGCAATCGGTTAACAAAATTAATTATGGAATATAATAACAAATGAACATTTTTTCACTCTTACAAATTACATTAGGAAGCTTGTTTTGCAACAATAGGTATGGTAGTAATAAGTATTTAGAAATTGATGACACACTAATATGTGATTTACATCTTCAATGTTGTGGATAAATCCTTTTATCTTTTCAGCCATATTCAACTGCATTGGCAGACGGAGGGAAAGAACTACTCCTGGACTGTAAAAGTCAGAATAGTCACAATCCTAAACAATGACCGGAACGAAATGACGACCGATGTTTACGTCTTAAATCTATTTTTCTTTGTGGAACTTCTTCTATAACCATGATATAGATTTGTTTCGCATGGACATCGCCTATGTAGGTATTGTATATACATGTGCACCATTCTGTATCTATACACACGTTTAGGGGTCACAGAAAGTATACTTCAACGATTTAAAGTTTGGGTATTGTTAATAGGAGCGACAAAACCCTTTCTACTTCCAGAAGAAATCTCTGTTAAAAGCAGAGTCGATTGAACAATTGTGACAATATCATGTGAATATCTTTGAATCTAGAAAAAATCAAATCTATACAAGATTTGAGAGAATTGAGCACATGTTGTGGAGACATCAAGGCGTGGATGTATCACAACAAACTAAATCTGAATAGTGACAAGGCGGAATGCATTGTCCTGGGGCCACAGAAAAGGAGATCACAGTGTGGTCTTACATTTGTCAAGTTTAATAATACAAACATCCAAATTGCTGACAAGGTCAAAGACCTTGTGTGAATATCGACTCAGATGTGTCACTGGATGATCATGTTTCCCATCTAGTTCACAGCTGCTTTGCTCAACTGCGCACTACTGAACATATCCGACCAATATCTCACCACCGAATCGGCCACCACTCTTCTCCTGTCTCTAGTTATGAGCATGATTGATTACTGCAACTCTCTTCTAGCTGTTACCACTAAGGCACAGATAAGGAAACTACAGCGTATGCAGACCGCTGCTGCACGTGTAGTGACCCAATCATGGAAATCTGATGACGCTCTGCCACTCCTTCATTCTTTACACTGGCTGGCCATTCACTACAGGATTCAATTCAAGCTTCTGTGCCTCACTTTCCGCTGTCTGTCTGGATCTGCGCCTTCGTATCTGGCCCAGTCCCTCACACAGAACCGCCCGTATCGCTCTCTCCCTTCTCAGGATAAACGTTTGCTCGTTATCCCCACTGTGAGGACTTCTACATATGGTGAAAGGTCCTTCTTGTATGCAGCCTCTACAACCTGGAACCAACTACCTCAATATCTATGTGACTGTACAAAACTTTCTACTTTTAAATTCCTACTAAAGACTCACTTCTTCAGATTAGCCCATGAGTACAAACAATAACCCATTGAATTGTGTTCCATGTATCTGTAGTCTTTCATTTTCTCTTAGTGTCGGTTTTGTACATACTTCTATGCCTTGCGCTTTGAACATGTTATACATGGAAAATAGTGCATTACAGGCATGCTAATATTATAAGATAATCCAGTGAGAAATAAGGCTATTAATAAGTCAGAAATACCCGTTTGCTTTAGTGATGTTTTACGGCATGGCTATTGCCCAATTCTTAAACGGATTTATACGAGCTTCAACGATATACAACTACAAACACAATTCTCACAATCCCATTGAATGCTTAGTGTGTTCCGACACAAAAATAAATTTTGATTTGCATTGTGATAGAAACACGATTTGATATGGCGACATGTTCACCTCACACAGATGTTCATATGTTTTTATTTCACTTCTCTGCTTATCTGTGCTGGGCCAACTTACACAAAAACCCCGGCTACTTCTGTGATAATTGCTCCACCTTTATATGCCCAGTATGTGTAAGTTTTCTTGACGTATACATGACATGCCGGACACTCGCAATGTTCTGTATGCTGAACGACCTGCTCTGTGTCAACATAGTATGATACCACGATAACGTCTACATGGAACCATGCGACAAAAGGTTGTATAGATGTATACTGAATTCACTTCACTGTCTCTAACAGCCGTTCTTGGCAATACATCTACACACTCCCTGTTTCCTAGCCTGAATTACGTGTACTAACGCTCTATCGAATCAATTATTAATATTCATAAAAAAATATAGTTACTCTGTTGAAAACACATTCAACACACACGTCGGTAACGACCACGTGTACTCCTGTTCATTGTATTCCATTTTAGTTAGCCTGTCAATCAGAATTTATCTTTGCATTGATTGCTATATATTCTTCAAAGTTTTGTCCCAATTTGTATTCATGATTACGCCTATTCATGTTTTCTTACAAAAGCTAAATTATTCATCTTTTTATTGTGTGTTTTCTACTGTTTAGACTTCTTCTCAGAGATAAACATACATAGTTGCACACTGCGTTTTCATATTTCAAAGAATATCCTCTGCATATTTGGAATAGTATTGAGTGGGGCTTAAAACTAAACTCACTCACTCATTCACCTATGTTTGATGGCATATATTAGTGTCTAAATCACATACAGTTTTGTGTTTTAAGACTGAGTCTTTTAGTCTTTATGGCTGAGACTAATCAGATGGTTACTCTACTGAACTCAAAGGTAACCACGTTTAACCTGACACCACGTGTACTAACATACAACTTGATAGACACGTGTGTTTCTGTTAACGGTAAATTTTGAAGTACGAAAATGAAACTAGAAGCGCCAGTAATGCGGTAGAGTGAGTGAGGAGTGGTAGGGGATGGGCACTACTGATGGTGTGTCATTTTACTGGAAATGGTGATAGTTCACATGATTGATAAAAACCTCGTTAATAGTGAGTGAGTGAGTGAGTGAGTTTTACGCACCATTCAGCAATATTCCAGCTATATGGCGGCGGTTTGTAATAATCGAGTCTGGACCAGACAATCCAGTGATCAACAGAATGAACATCGATCTGCTCGATTGGGAACCGATGACATGTGTCAACCAAGCCGGCGATCCTGACCACCCGATCCCGTTAGTCGCCTGTTACGACAAGCTTGGGTTACTGGAGGTTCATTCTAACCCGGACCTTCACGTTTACAGGTTCTATGTCGAAAAAATCAAGGATTATAATCCGCGCTAATGATCCATCGAACTATACAAAGAATACGCTAATGAACCAAAGGCAGGATGCCCCATACATATGTTTCGGAGTAATATTCCTAATTCATTGAACATGAAAATGTACAATTTAAAAACAGAAACGCATAACCCAGAAATCTGTTGCGAAAATGTTGTATTTTCAAACATGTAAAATTCGTCCACAAATAGACATTAGGAAATGAATTTTTGCATCGGAAGGAAATGTCTATACAACCAAGTGGATCATTTTAGAAAATGGAGGACGTTGAGCTCCATGGTGACGACGTAGCACGGGTCCGACGTTGGATCTCTTGGCTCTCAGTCCAATCTCTCTCAACCTGTTCCGTACAGTTTGACCGGATATCCTCCGAATTTCAGGCACCCTGGCTGCTGTGCTCTCGCCCGTCCAGTACGATCACGCAAACGTAGTACCCGGATGTACCAATCTTTGGCTACAGTGGTGACTCGAGGTCTGCCTGTACAGGGACAGTCATTTGTTATACCTGTTTGGTTGTAAGCTGTAAGCCGTAAAATCGTGCTCAGACTAACATTCAGACGCCTGGCAACAGAAGATTGGTAATCTCCAGGGTGCATTCTTTCAATGGCGATGTTCCGTGTCGCAGCGTCATGACGTGGCGTAGTGATTACATTTTGAAACTTCTTCAAAACGAGTGCCGATTTCCGAAAGTAATCTGGATTTTTATAGTCAGATAGTGCATGCTCTTTGCTGCACAATTTCAACTAGAAGGCGATTTCTGTTGCGTTGTGGAGATGCTTTTTTCATCCTTGTAAGAAATCTCAGCAAAATCAACATTTTCAGGTAAAATCGATTTTGTACTTGTGCAATTGTGTAAAATCATGTTATCAACACTTTTGGTACATATTTTGACGATTGTTTGAACACAATAAGTAATTAATAGATTTTAAAAAAATACAAAACGTCTATGCGTTTCTTTTTTTGGATAGTATACTTCTATGACGAATGACGAATATAACTGTATGACAATCTATTCTCTACTCTCGTTTACATGTACATATAATTTCCAAAGCATATACGCGTTGATTCATTTCCGCAAAATGGAGACACTGCCACTGAATACACCACTCTTTAGGATAAACATCAACGCCTGTACTGAGCAGAGAGTGGCTGTGCCAACGTTGCAGTACTCGTGTCGTTACTGAAAACATGGACGTTCATCATCAGTTCTTCATCCCATGTGTTTGTATTGCCCACTTCCTTTGCCTTTGTCATCATTTTGGTATCGATATTGGATGGTTAACGACGTTCGTGTGGAGTGTTCGGAATGTGGGTTGCACGATTTTGTTCGACATAAAAGGAAAACTGCCTCCGTTTATCAATCGAGTAGTTTATGAAGAATGTTGCTCTTATGTTATTTCTGAACTTTTGAATAAGATTCATGGGGCGCCCTTTGGAAACTCCCTGGAACAAAACCTGAAAGGTTCTGTCAACAGACAAGCGTCATATAGTGATAACACCGACTGACTGATGATCGCGAACATGCCAGAATATCCTATCTCACCTGTGGCATTCGTCACAAACACATGTAAAGGGCGCGGTACAAGAACATGAAAATAGGGAAATCCACAAACATCCTTTTTGTCAGACACAAATGAGTCAAATTGTTTAATTTCTCTCTCTTACCATGCTCTACAGACGAAAGCAAACCTGGGTGCATAACTACACCTAATAAGGTATCATCGCTAATCAATCATTAAATACCGACATGAGTGTTGCCATTGATGACTGTGTAAGTAAAATGATTTCCTTCACTCCCCTCAAGCCGGGTAGCTCATTCGCCACTTGATCATGCAAGATGCATCATCATGAGGTTCAAATCCCCATTTATGGTACAAGGTCTGTCAGCGAAATATTCCAGCTTCCAGATTTCAGCAAAGTGGTAAACGCCTGAGATCTGCATCGAATTGAACTTTCCTCCGACATAATACTGACACGTACGCCTGTTCAAAGAGGCATTGAACCCAACTCACTCACCATACAATTCTAACATCAAGATGCATGCGATGATGACCTTTCACGTTACAATGTAACCGTGTAAGTGGAATGCCAATCAAGTACTTATTAGCATGACCAAAATTATGTTAGTTTGACCCGCCCAAAGAATCCTGCCGTGATCTACAATTACCTCTTGTATTTGTCAGTTATCCAGTTTGTTGAACACATTCCACACCAGAAGAATTGAACGTGTAAGAACTGCGTGAAGGAGATTCGTCTCGAGCCTAAACATGGATATGGAGTCTGGCAACATAAGTGACTACACGTACGATTATGATTACGACAGTTTTATACAGACAACAACATACACGACGGAAATTGTGGTAAACAGCGTTCTGCTGTACATTGGAGTCTGTACCAACATATGGATGATCAGGTCTCTCTACAAATCATGGAAGACAGGCAGCAGGATGCATTTCTACCTCCTTGCCATTTGTGTTGCTGATTTGCTGGGATTGTGCATCCGATGCGGAGTCAACATTGGCGTTCAGGCAACCGTTGTTTGGAGAGGTGGATATTATGGATGTAAACTTTTTGTAGGTTTTCAGATGTTTGGAGGTACTATGTCCCACCTCATCCTGGCTGGATTCAATATCGATAATCTCTTCACCATCGCCTGTAGTCGCTCCAACAAGGCGTTGCGTATCGTCTTCCTACTGTTATCCTTTGTAACTACCTTCATTATCAGTTGCGTTAAGGTAAGCACATGTTGAGAATGACGTTATGAAATGTTGCTTTATGAGGTATACAAGCTATATCACTATGATTTAGGGGAAATATTACTAATAGGATTTTGACTTTGTACCTCTACGCGGAATCGAAATTGTATTTTCCGTGTCAGCAGTACGGCTGATGTTCAATTTCTGTTGATTTGAACTTCTAACTCTGTCATTTAATTCTGTCCCAAATACATATTAACTATTACTGTTTAACTGCTGTACTCTAAGTAGTTTGTATATAACTGTCAGAAAGAAAGTATACCATATGCGTTTTGAGTTTTAGTTCCCCCTCCTTGTCTCATTTCAGTTCTACTTCTACCATCTGGTTAACATGTCGTACAAAGGTGATGACATATACTACTGCCTTATAGATTCAGGAGCTGGTTATCTTGCAGTTCCAGTGGTTCACGTGGCGGTATATTTCTTACTTCCACTTCTCATGATGATACTGTTTGGTCTCCCATCATTATTTGTATGGTGCTGTAAAAAAGGTGAATAATTTAAAATATATTTCTTGTACTTACACGTATCTTCGTACAAACTCGGCGTTGTAATACAGTATTGTTTTGTTCCATAGACTGTACTATGTAGGAGATATCCATCCATTCTTACGCACGCATGCACACACATATAGTAGCGAGCAGATAAAATGCGACAAACATATTTTTCCTCGGATTCGGTGCCACTCATGAAATAGCCCAAATAATGTGTTTTGAGCTTTATGTAGCTTATACCGTTGTTATGATATAATCTCCCTTGAGTTCACAGACGGCTTGGTCTCGTTGCTTGCAAACGATGCCGAAACTTTAGCATTACGTTACAACACAGCAGAAATCCATTCCTGGCCTTTTATGAATCTGGTATAAAATCTGTAGATTTAAACTTGTGGATTTGACAAATGTACATCGGGCTTCAATCTACCGCAATTTAAAGACATTTTAAACTGGATTTGGGTCAGAGCGAAAGGCTTGTCTCGGTGTGAACGACAGGCGATCGTGCGTCTTGCAGGTGTACACCCAAACTGGTCTGCAACTTGTTGTGAATTATATAAGTCAAGAAAGCCCTGTTGTATCAGAATGGACTATCAGAAGATATTTGCAGCAATCTGGGTGTGTCAAGCGAGTCCCAAAGAAAATCCAGTTAATGACGAGAAAAAGCTCCGCTGATGTACGGAAAGGCAGAGTAAAGACTTTTCAAATGTGATTTTTACGGACAAATCAAAGTTCCAGTTTCATAGCATCACCAGAAAAAGATGGTCAAGAGGTGGTCGTTGCTGTAGAATGGTTCCAAAGTTCTCACCAAGTATCATGATTTGGGGTGGTATTAGAAAACTCGGAGTAACGCCTCTTCTGACTATCGCAGGAAACGTGAATTCACTCAAGTACTGCCAACTTATACAATATAGTAGAATCACTTAAACAACTCAAGACACACCTGTAACTGGTTTGAGACGAATCACGTGACTTCACATAAACATCCAGCAGCATCAACGGAGTCAAACCCCATTGAAAATGTGTGGCAGATAAGGAAAGACAAACTAGAAAAACCAAAGAATTGTCCAACCTCATCAGTTAAATATGGGTAGATCTACCCCAGGGGAATACATCGAAATTTGATAAACAGGATGGAACGCCGCGCCCGAACAGTGTATCGAGAGAAACGGCGCACTAACAGACTATTAACTTGAATATTCTTAAACTTACGTATCCAAAGTAAGTGTATGTAAAATATCTTTAAATTTACTTATGTGAAAAGTCGCATTTTTTCTGCTCTCTACTGTACATGCATCCACAAATGCATATTTTTTGCTCTTTCGTCAATAGCGATTATAATAGGGATTATAATGAAGTCAATCGACAAGAAAAAATCGGCAATATATCTCTAATAGTCCGATATATCGTTAAGGATGGTTTTAATTTAAGGTCCAATAAGTATTTTGTGGCAAGTGTAAGTACAATACTCTTTACAGTGTGTTAGTGTTACTCTTTCTTCAGGAACACTCAGCTATGAGAAGATGACACGTGACGATGACTCCTCCACAGACCTTCAGTTCATTGGCAGAGATATTGGAATAGTGTTGGCTTACGGTATGGGTGACTGACCTCGATGTGAATATTTGTATCACTGAATGCATCTTTTTGTGTCCCTGAAATGGTTGATCATGAGACTGACAAACAAGAGTTAAGAGGATAATTACAAACATGTATCAATATACAAAGAACCTATATGTAGACCGGATTATAGAGTACAGTTATTTAAAAGTTTAATGCACGGACAAATATATTTTTCAGATGTAGTATTCTTCCTCTGCTGTGCTCCGCTTGTTGGATATAATTGGCTCTACAGGTAAGGTTATAGTGACCTGAATACATTTGGAAGATCACTACCTGTTACTGATACGTATGATAGATAAGACAAAGTGGCCTATGACCATCCGGGTAAGAATTGATACACCCATGTTTGTCGTAAGACGCGAGGTCAGGTAATCGGGCGGACTACATCATCATCTACAACAACACAGAGATACTAAAAAGAACGTATCTACATCTTATCTATTTGTTGAATACATTATACAACCAAGAATAAGTTACATTTAGAGTTGACTGTAAACAGTGTCTGTAAATACGTATATTCAAACCGTCAATGTAAATTATATCGTTACTGGTGTCGAATACAAACACGTAATGTCAATGAATATGTCACTATGCCGTAGTGGCTCATCTTTGAATAAGTGAGTTGGTAAGTTAAGTGTCAGGCCGCATTTACAGTTGGCTAATGATGTTTCAGTTTGACATGAACCACTTTGGTATTTTGATGTGGTAGGTCTTAATAGTTATAAACGGTGAAAGACTGAAATGGACATAAAAAGATCGAACTAGTTCCACAACAATGAATAGATTGATCAGTAATGAATTGACAGTTCAAAAAGTCATTGACATAAATATGTGAAAAATATTTAAGCTTATTTATATTTCTTACATCATCCATTCTAATTTGAGACAAGAAATGCATTTAATTCATGGAAATAATTCCTAAATCAATAATTAATAAAGAGAGAATCCAATCGTATTTTCAGTGAAGTAAAATTCTATGTCGTCTGCCAGTGGGGTCAAAACATAGAAAAAGTTCAAAACATTTAAAATCACTTTTAATACTCATTTCCTTACTAAAACTAATAATGAAAGTGACAAGAAGCTTTACTGAGATAAAAGAAATAAAACTTACTCTGTGGGGACTGTGTAAGTGTCTAACTTTCTTTATTAATGGTTTCTAAAAATGAGCTGCTGAAAGCAGACGGCTCACAAGTCTATCTCTTTCGCGAATATTTAAACTTAGGGAGGTAAATCTGGTAGGATAAACTGAGTGAAGAATTCATAAAATCATTAATCGGTGTTACAGAGCAGTTAGTGTAAATCCTAGTCTGTCTCACAGTCCCTGAACCACATTATTTTCCCTACTGCCAAGCCCTCTCTGCAGTGCTAGAGCCCTAAATAAAGCAAGTCTAGATTTCCTCAGGTTCTGAATCTCTGGTGCTTCTAGGGCTCCTTTTCAATTTAAATGGGCTTGTTTGTTATTATCAAAATTATATATATTCAGAGACTAAGCATTAGTCTATGTAAATCCGTGTAAGTCTGTATAAAGTGTCATCTTACAGTAGGAGGTGGGACCCAATGTGATGCTTTTCGTAATTCATCGTATGTAGGTTTCATGTGTTATATTCATGTTTTCCCATCACAAAGGATAACTACTTCAGTGTCAAAACAATGAAGGACCTTTTTACCTTGTTAAGGATCATTTACTAATTGTATTTTTAAAGAAAATAGAATTGTTAGATAATTTTGAACGAAATCTTCTGTCAAAAGATAAATGGTATTTTATAAATGGCAGTATAACTTAGCAGCTCCCATGGGAGGTTGAAGTACCGTAATATCATTGATATAAGACCACTTCTTTCAAAGTGTCTTATTTCTACCACATTTGTATTCGTAAAATATGTGTTTATTTTATATCTTGGCTAAATTTGTCATATTCGCCAACATCTGAAGGGACGATGGAAATCCAGCTAGGGTCCAGGCAGGTAGCAAAAGCACAGTAAGTCCCCACGGTCCCTAGTGTAGTGATCTACCTTCATCTGTGGTACTCTAGTAATTTTACAGTCCTTTGACTGGATATTTAACAACCTGTATCTTTTATAATATGTAATGTAATAATTATGTATGCAAATCTTTACTCGTCACTTTATGGCTGAAATATTGCCGAGGTGAAAGTTTAACTCACTATTATATTCATGTCTATTTTCTATTTCACTCCACAGGTTTCATTCAATTCCGGCACACATGGTTACGATCTTCCTGGAGACCGCAAACCCATGTCTCAACCCATTCATATATGGTAAGTAGCATGAAAAATTAATCGGGTTTTTTGACACGACTTCACGACTTCAGTGTCCTAATTCACCAGAAGGACACCCGCATTTGTATTACACGTATATCTCAAAAGAAAGGATTTAGGTTCAATTACTCACTAAAAACTTAGAAATCAATCTTTCAATCGGTGATAAGTTATAGCATTCCAGGTGGAAAGAGATCTCAACAACAACACTATGTCCATGTATCAAAATGTACGTATGTCAACCTTCTGCCACACTATGTAGCCAGAGTAGTACACAAGCATGTGAGATCGTTATGCATACATTTCGGAAATCCATACCAATAGTTCTGAAGAATCACTGCTCCAAGGCCTCACACAGAATGAGGAGTGCACCCTCTTTAACACCCATATCCTTCGCCAATGTATCCATGGTATTTTATACAGTACAACCAGAAATTATTGAGAATTTAAGATTGTAATTTGTTTAATTTTTTTCACTCATTACTCACGTATTAAATATGTGAATAATAGCAGAACATAACTCAAGATTCAAAGACAGGTGAACAGTTAGTATTTCAGTGTATTAGGAAACAGCCACACAGAACTTTCATCTGAGAAAATCACATTGTCCCAGTTAAAATTTCTATGCTATAAGCACCAGTTCAATCTTCGCCCCTTTTTTTCAGGTTTCATGATCGGTGATGGAATTCCTCGACTTTTCTGCCAACCCATTGCTTGTAGTTCAGTTCTAATTATCTCCTTACAGGCAACCACAGTTCCTCTATCAATCATATCCAGCCTTAAGTTTTCTAAACGCCTTCGTTTGTTTTAGAAACAAGAATACCAAGCCGCCTCCTGTCACCGACAGTCAATTTTCTGGGCCTACCTGCGCCTCCCTGGTGCTCAATGCCATATCCATTTGCAATATTTTTCAAAACACGATAAAACAGTGGACAAAGGGATGCCTGTTCTACTTGAAATGACTTTAGCTGATCTGATGTCCTTGTTATAATACTCTAAAATCAACTTTCCCTTCTCTAAATCATCCATACTGAGGATCACTGAAAATGTCGTCTGCTAGCAAGTAAACAAAAGGGGATAACTCTTCAGAAACTAATGAAAAAGGATTAACGGAGTTGTCTCTCTTGAATGAAACCAAGCACTTGATAGCTGGTCAAGGTTGTTTATACTGGAAATCCAATTAAACATATTCCTAAAATTCTAAATAATTTCTGGTCATACTATAAATGGTACTGGTAGTATAAATTAGCAGCTGCGATTGTTAGTGGCGTTATCCAAGGGAGGATGAAGTACCGTAAATTATTGTCCTGAGAGCTTACATAAGACCACGTCTTTCAAAATGTATTTATCTCTACCACATGCTATTTGTAGAATATGTTTCTTTTATATCTTTGGCAAAAGTTGTCATATTCGCCAACATCTGAAGGGACGATGTAAATCCAGCTAAGGTCCATGCAGGTAGCAAATATACTGTAAGTCCACATGGTCCCAAGTGTGGTGATCTACCTTCAGCTATTGGCGACTTATAGCCTGTTTTAGTTATTGTATTATCTTCAGTGGTAAAATAGTAAAATATTTACATGCTAGTGTTATACACCGTCTGTGATACTCTAGTTATTTTTTCGGTGACTGGTTGTTTAACAACTGTATTTATTGTGCAAAACATTTCTCGTCACTATATGGCTAAAAGTTTGCAGAGGTGATGTTAAATTTTAACTCACTCACTCACTTCATATGTATTCAGGTCACCATATCATTACTCACTCACTCACTCACTCACTCACTCACTCACTCACTCACTCACTCTCACTCACTCACTCACTCACCCACCCACTCACTCACTCACTCAAGTTCCTAAACGAATAAGAGTCAGTGTCATTAAGACAAAGGCCCATTGACATCTTTACAATGCCATGGAGATGGTGTTACTAAGATAGGAACAACTGAAGCATTGACCATCAGTGAATAAAATGGTGATTGTACTTGTTAAAACATAATTAATACAGATGATCACAAGAGGGAAGACATACGAATTTGACTGAATGGAATTTGATGTCATTACAACCTGAAATATGTGTCCGAAGTTGATCAATAGGTAAATGCAACAGTTCATGGCTAGACTCTCCTCTGGGCAAAGTGTTGAATGTTCTTTGAGTTATGTTCTATTACGTCAAGGGTTATCAGACAGACTAACGTATGCTATTATGCAAGAAGGTACCAATGTGGCACCATAACGTACCTATATTATGTTCTGTGTACAGATTCATGACATAAAACACATTCTTGTCCAGTGTATGTATATAGCATCTTTTCTGTTCTTGTCTGTAACAGAATACAACTTATGCTTTGAGCGTACACATATTCCATCAGTTAAAACAAAATATAGTAAAGAGACAAACATGACGCATAGGTCATAGGACGCCCGGTTTGGCATTATTGTGATATGGTGATAAATGTCAACAACGACACCAAGGGCAAACAAGAAACAGCACACGGTTAACAAAATTGATTATGGAATATAGTAACAAATGAACATTTGTTCACGCCTACAAATTACATTAGCAAGCTTGTTTGGTAACAATAGGTATGGTAGTAATATTGAGTATTTAGAAATTGATGACACACTAATCTGTGATTTACATCTTTAATGTTTTGGATAAATCCGTTTATCTTTTCAGCCATATTCAACTGCATCGGTAGACGGAGGGAAAGAACTTCACCTGGACTGTAATAGTCAGAATAGTCACAATCCCAAACAATGACCGGAACGAAATGACGACCGATGTCTAATCTCCTTTCTCTTTGTGGAACTGCTTCTATAACCCCGAAATATATATATTTTGAATTGACACCACCTATTGAGGCATTGTATATACATGTGTACCATTCTGTATCTATACACACATTTTGGGGTCACAGAAAGTATACTTCAACAGTTTGATTGTTGTTTAAAAGGAGCGGTGGGGTAGCCTAGTGGTTAAAGCGTTCGCTAGTGACGCCCAAGACCCGGGTTCGATTCCCCGCATGGGTACAATTGTGTAAGGCCTCTTTCTTGTGTCCCCCGTGATAATGCTGGAATATTGGTAAGGCAAAATTGAATTTTCATTAGATAATCCAGTGAAATATAAGGCTATGATGAAAAGCTTCATTAAGGTCAGACCACTTGTTGCCTTTGGTGATCTCTTACAGCATGACTATTGTCCAATTCTTAAACGGATTTATACGAGCTTCAATGATATGCAACTACAAACACAATTCTCACAATCCCATTAAATGCTTAGTGTGTTCCGACACAAGAAATAACTTTTGATTTGTATTGTGATAGAAACACGATATCATTATGGCAATATGTTCACCTCACACAGATGTCCATATGTTGTTATTTCACTTCTCTGCTTATCTATGCTGTCTGTTGATAAAAGATGGTGGAGATGTTGAGAAGTGTATCCTGGGCCAACTTGCACAAATATAACGGCTACTTCTATGATAATTGCCCCACCTTTATATGCCCCATTTGTGTATGTTTTTTGACGTATTCATGACATGCCTCTCAATCTCAATGTTCTGTATACTGAACGATCTGCTATGTGTCAACACAGTATGATATTACTACAACGTCTCCATGGAACCATACGACAAACGGTTGTATAGATGTATACTGATTTCACTTCACTGTCTCTAACAGCCGTTCTTGGCAATACATCTACACACTCTCTGTTTCCTAACCTTGACTGCATTGATTTTTCCACCACAAGGGATAAGTATTTCAATGTAAAAATTGTTAAGGATCTTTTTAATACTGTTAATTTTCATTTAATTATTGAATTTTTAAAGGAAATAGAATTATTAGATAAATTTTGACGAATGGTTTGTAAATAGCGAAATATTTTATTATTGGTTGTTTAGTTTAACTGTGATTGTTAGTGGCTGTACCCTCAAAGGGGGTTGGAGTATTGTAAAATTAATGTCCTCCTATCCTGAGAGGGTACGTAAGTCCCAATACATTCATAGTAAATTTAAACCTACTACTATTTATAATCGTAGCATATATGTTATTTTAATGTATGGCTAGATTTATCTAAAGTGCTAACGGCTGAAGGGATGATGTAAGTCCATCTAGGGTTCATGCAGGAAGCAAATGTACTGTAAGTCCCCATGGTCCCTAGTATGGTGATCTAACTTCAGGTGTTGGCAATATATAGCCTGTTTTTATATTGTATTGTCATCTATAGTTAAAATGTTTTAGTGTTAATTACTAGTTTTAAATTGGAATGTGTGATAAACTAGTTGTTTTACTGTCCTTCGCTGACAGGTTTTTATAATTTACCTTTATCTATTGTAAATTTATAACATGTTTGTAGTCACGATATGGCTGAAATAATGCCGATGTCACTTTAAATCTTAACTCACTCACTCACTCACTCACTCACTCACTGTTTCCTAGCCTGAATTGTGCACTAACGCTCTATCAAATCAATTAATAAAATTCCTCAAAATAATATAGTTACTCCGTTGAAAACACATACAACACACGTCGGTGGCGACCATGTGTAGCATACAGATGCATGTCAAATCTGTTCATTGTATTCCTCTTCAGTTAGCTTGTCAATCAGAATTATCTTAGCGTTGATTGCTGTATATTCTTCAAAGCTTTGTCCTATTTTGTATTCATGATTACGCTTATTTGTGTTTTCTTACAAAAGCTAAATTATTCATCTTTTTATTGTGTTTTTTTATTGTTTCGACTTCTTCTGAGAAATAAACTTACACAGTTGCACACTGCGTTTTCATATTTCATAGAATATCTTTTCCATGTTTGGAATATTGTAGAGTGCGGCTTAAAACTAAACTCACTCACTCATTCACCTATAGTTATGTTTGATGGCCTATATAAGTGTCTAAATCACATACAGTTTTGTGTTATAAGACTGGGTCTTTTAGTTCTAAGTCTTTATGGCTGAGACTAATCAATTGGTTACTATACTGAACTCAAATGTAGCCACGTTTCACCTGACACCACGTGTACTAACATACAACTTGATAAAGAAGTGTGTTTCTGTTACTGGGCACTACTGGCGGCGTGTCATTTTACTGAAGGAGAAAGAAATAGTGATAGTTCACATGTTGGTGAAAACTACGTTTATAGGTACTATGTCGAAAACATCAATGACCCATCGAACTCTTAAAAAAATATGCTAATGAGACCAAAGCAGGATGCCCCATACATATGTTTGGGACTTAAATTCCTAATTCATTAAATATGAAAATACTTCTAATCATCATTGAGAGACGAATATAACTGTATGACAGTCTATTCTCTACTCTCGTTTACATGTACATATAATTTCCAAAGCATATTCGCGTTGGTTCATTTCCGCAAAATGGAGACACTCCCTACTGAATACACAACTCTTTAGGATAAACGCCTGCATTCGTAACTACTCGTCGCTTTCCGTAACCCGAAAGAAGACTCGTACCCCTCTCGTAGCCATTTTATTGAACGTGGCTCTGTCTGAGCGCAAAAGCGCAGAGAGAAGGAATTAGTCTAGTCGCCTCACTATTTTCAAGGGCATGTAACTCTAGTTTATTTGGAAAACAAACATGGGTATGTTTAACATGCTTAAAGACGGTGAATACTTTCCTACGCCATAATGTTGATATATCCTGGTTATAAAAATTCAGAAAACCCCGGATGATTGTGCAATACCTAAAATATACTTGAAATGTCTGTGAAAGAAATTTGCAAGCCGAAATGAAAATTATTTCAACAAACTATGTTGACCCAATTTCTTCTCTATAGACGCTCATTCTGATTGGCTGGGGGAATATTTCTCCCGGACATGGCTACGAGAGGGGTACAAGTCTTCTTTCAGGTTACGGAAAGGGACGAGTAGTTACGAATTCAACGCCTGTACCAAGCAGCGTGTTGCTGTGCCAACGTTGCCGTACTCATTTCGTAACTGAAAACCTGCACGTCCAACATCAGTTCTTTTCCCCTGTGTTTGTATTGCCCTCTTCCTTTGCTTATGTCTTCATTTTGGCATCGATATTGGTAGCGACGTTCCTGTGGAGTGTTCGGAATGTGGGCTGCACGGAATGTGGGCTGCACGATATTGCTCGACATAAAGGCAAAACTGCTCTCATGTCATTTCTGAACTTTTGAACAAGATTCATGGGGCGCCCTTTGAAACTTCCCTTTAACAAAACCTGTGCGATTGTAAGGTTCTGTCAACAGGCAAGTGTTTATGAATCACCGTCATATAGTGATAACACCAACTGGTGATCGCGAACATGTCAGTAAATACTATATCACCTGTGGCATTCGTCACAAACAGATGTAAAGGGCGTGGTACAAGAACATGAAAATAGGGAAATCCACAAGCATCCTTTTTGTCAGACACTGATTAGTAAAATTGTTTAATTTCTCTCTCTTACCATGCTCTACATAACTACACGTAATAAGGTATCATAGTAAGACAATCAGTAAATACCGGCATGCGTGTTGTCATTGATAACTGTGTAACTAAAATGATTTCCTACACTCTCTTCAAGCCGGGTAGCTCATGTATGGTAAACCAGCGCGCTTATAATTTTTTATACGGCATGTATGCTTCGCCCATGACTGGTTTACTAATGCACGTCTAGTTATCTTAAATCAATGTCTTCTTACGTGTTATGAACTTTTTACTTCTCTCTCCATTCAGAAGAAAGCTAACTCGTCGCTAGACAATATTGACTAATGGCATGTTGTCATTGATAATCATAGAACTAAAACGATTTCCTACACTCCCTTCAAGCCGTGTACCGTACGGAAGGTCCACTCGTTAGGTTCAAATCCCCATTTATGGTGCCATGTCTGTCAGCAAAATATTCCAGCTGCCGATTTCAGTAAAGTGGTAAACGTCTGAGATCTTTATCGGATTGAACTTTGCTCCGACATAATACTAACACGCCTGTTCAAGGTTCACTCACCATACAATTCTAACATGCGATGATGACCTTTCACGTTGCAACGTGGAATGCCAAGCAAGTAATTATTAGCATTGCCAAAATTAGGTGGTGTTTAACCCGCCCAAGTATCCTGTCGACCTTAATTATCTACAATTACCTCGTGTATTTGTTAGTCATCCAGTTTGTTGAACACATTCCACACCAGAAGCGCTGAAAGTGTAAGGTCTGCGTCAGGGAGATTCGTCTCGTGCTTAAACATGGATATGGAGTCTGCCAACATAAGTGACTACACGTACGATTATGATTACGACAGTTTTATACAGACAACAACACACACGACGGAAATTGTGGTAACCAGCGTTCTGCTGTACATTGGAGTCTGTACCAACATATGGATGATCAGGTCTCTCTACAAATCATGGAAGACAGGCAGCAGGATGCATTTCTATCTCCTTGCCATTTGTGTTGCTGATTTGCTGGGCTTGTGCATCAGCAGCGGTGTCAGCATCGGCAGTAATGCGACCGTTGTATGGAGAGGCGGATATTACGGATGTAAAATATTTTCAGGTCTTCAGATGTTTGGAACTACTATGTCCCATCTCATTCTGGCTGGATTCAATATCGATAATCTTTTCACCATCACCTGCAGTCGCTCCATCAAGGCGTTGCGTATCGTCTTCCTGCTGTTGTCCTTTGCAACCGCCCTCACTATGAGTGGCGTTAAGGTAAGCACATGTTGAGAATGAGTTTGTGCAAGTCTTATCAGTTAGTCTAAGCGGTATGCAAGCCATAACTCTGCGTTAAGTAAGGTAAGCACAATTTGGGAATGACTTCAAGAAATGTATCTAAGTTGCCCTGTGTTGTATACAATGCATAACATTGCGAGGTGCAGGAAAGGATAGGATTTTGACGTTGCACCCTTAGAATCGAAACATTATTCTCAGTGTCATGAGCGAACCTTTTGCCTTTTAGTGTTGCTGCAATGGTTGATTTGAACGTTTTATTATGTAAGCCGTATTACTGGTGAGTGCTCTCTAACTATTTTAAATATCACTGACAGAAAAGAGTATACCGAATGTTATGTTATGTTTAGATTTTCTGTCTCGTTTCATTTCAGTTCTACTTTTACCAGCTAAGACCCATGGGACACAGTAACGAGGCATATTATTGCGGTTTCGGTTCAGCATTTGGCTATGCGTTACTACCATTGGTGGACACGGCGGTCTTTTTCTTACTTCCATTTCTAATGATGTTACTTTTTGGGCTACCATCTTTGTTTGTATGGTGCTGTAAAAAAGGTAAACAATACGGAAATACAGTTTTAGCTTTTCGCGTCTTTCACAATGAATTTTCTTGGAGTTTAGTACAGTATTGTTATGTTCCATATCTTAAATCTGTAGAGGATATTCAGAATGCATAGTTTTGGCTGTTTCACGATATTGCATGATTATGGAATTGGTCGACCATATAGAAGTCAATTGATAAAAGATCTCTGATATCTCGATACGTCGTTTAAGATGGTGTGAAGTCTAGGCTCATGGAATAGTTTTGACAGACTGAGTGTTGATCTTTCTTCAGGAACACTCAGCTATGAGAAGATGACAAGTGATGATGACTCCTCCACAGACGTTCAGTTCATTGGCAGAGATATTGGAATAGTTTTGGCATACGGTATGGATGACTGACCTTGTTAACGCAAACTAAAAACCAGTCTTTCCTTTGGTTTTATTACAACCGTAACCTTCTTGAAAATGTTGGTCATGAGGCTGACACAGAATACGTCAAACATAAAGATATGTTGGATCGCTTTGCTTTGTGCATTTGAGGATATGGAGGGACGGAGTTAGTGAACTTACCACTGTGAAGAGTCTTGCATGGCTAGGTTCAGAGTAAAATAAACAACAATAAAAACTATAGTCCTCTTGAAAGTGTTGATGATGAGGCTAACACAGTTTAATATCACTGTGAAGAGTATTGCAGTTATTTGCCGACCTTGCTACTGATTTAGCAATTCATCTGGGGAAGAAATCCAAAACCGACAAACCACTGTCTATGCAATGGTTTTATAATTTCTTGTCGCGTTTGCCTGATCTCAAAGTCCAAAAACCAAGATCACTTGAGTTACAGTGCGCGAAGGCTACGTCCAAGGAAACGGTCGGACACTACTTCAAAGAACTTGGACAGATTCTTGACAAGTACAACTTGAAGGATAACCCACATCGGATATACAACATTGATGAGAAGGGAATTGTGGAAAACCACACTCCTCCGTCTGTGGTATCGTCAAGTCAGGCCACCCCATATGCTGTCACTTGTCCGAGATCTAGCACTACTACGATTATAGGGTGCGGTAGTGCTTCAGGCGCCGTAATACCCCCGTATTTTGTTTTCAAGGGGAAAAGAATGCGTGAAGAAAACATGACAGGATCGACACCAGGAGCAGCCGGAACCGTTTCTGATTCTGGATGGTCGAATTCCGAAATATTTCGTCAATATCTTGAACACCATTTCCTGAAGAATTCCGTCACAGCGTCTGTTGATCGTCCCTTGCTTATTCTCTATGATGGACATAGATCGCATGTGTCATTATCACTGATAACCTGGGCTCGTGAACACAACATTATATTGTTTGTTTTACCGGCGCACACGTCACATGTCTTACAACCTTTGGACGTCTGCTGTTTTGGACCTTTTTCCAAGATTTACAACAATCTCCGACATAAATTCATGAGGAACAATTCCATCGTTGCTGTTGCAAAACATTCCGTTTGTGAACTGGCATGTAAAGCGTACTCCTTGGCATTAACTCCATCCAATCTACAGTCATCGTTCAAGACGTGTGGGATTTATCCATTTGATAACAGTACTGTAAGTCGCGTTAACTTTGCCCTTCAACTGTTTTCACACCCCATGTGAAGACGCTGATAGATCCGAACGTGTCGACAATTCTAACGACAAAACAACAACATCGTCTGTCAAGAACTTTCTTTTTTCAAAACAAAGCGTTTTGACTGATAAATCACAGTCTACAAAGAAGAGGAAAGTTCTTAGTGCGGTCGTCGGTGGCAAGGCCATTACAGAGGATTCAATTATGGAGAAAGTTAGAGAACATCAAGTTAGCAATCCCCTGTGAAGAAAAGAAAAATCTGCAAATAAAACACCAAAATCGAGACAAAACATCATGACAGATAAATCATCGTCTCCTCAGCCAGGTACATCAGGCATTTACTCCCGTAGAATCGATCCTGTCGTTGATTCTTCTGACGAAGAAAATGAGATCACAGATGATGAACTTTGCTGTCAGTGTCACAGATTTTACACCACAGGAACTCGAAGGATGCCAGAGCATCGTGTTTGTCTCATGGGCAGAATGCACACACCCATCGATGCAAACACTGGGTTCACCTGAAAGTATGCACACCTGTAAGAGTTGTTCGTGCCACGTCAGAATTCTGGTGTCCGTGTCATGATGAGAAGGAGGAATAACTTATACCGCTAGGTTTAGAGTAACAATTATGAGAGTGATTTTCTGTTTCAATATACATGTTTTTATGTTACTACTATGCAAACATTTAAATGTATTTGAAAGCATATGCAGCAAGACCGAATTTTATATACAGATTTTGTTTTGTTAATGCTCGGGAATCTAAAGAACATGCAAATATATTTTTCAGATTTGGTATTCTTCCTCTGCATTGCTCCGTTCATTGTACTTTGGGTCCTTGGGTAATGTGACGTTTTGTTTATCTGAATACAATTGGAAGATCACTTCCTGTTACTTAGCTAGATATAAAAGAAAAAACTGCCCAATACAGCTACCTTAACGTACTGATCTATAGTTACCCGTGTTTGTCGTAAGACGTGACGAAGGGGTTCGGGTAGAAACATCAAACAACCGTCAATATACATTCCATCTCGACGTTTTGTGATACTTGATTCTGATTGGCTGACAGCTCACCAAAAACATACTTGATTGGCAGTTAAGGACCGCTAATTAAAGCGACCGATTGTCCGCGTATGAATACAATGAACTCGTTGACCCTTTTGTTTGTAAGCAAACATGTCGGGACATCGGCGCTTTCACCACCGTTACACTGGGGTTGAAACAAGGGAAATAGTTAAGATTACTTGGCACAGGACTGAAAACTCCCAGAATTTGTCGTCATATACACTGATTTGTCAGCAGCGCAAACGCGGCTGTATTCCGCCATACTTCAAACCGGGTTTAGATCTAGTGGGCATGACATCGACAACACATGTCCTAACCTTTCCGCGTCCGTACCAGCCGTAATGCAGAGGGATTCCACTTCTACTGTCCATCCTTCCCACATAAAAGCTGGCATGTCAGTTCTTTTCCAAATTGGGAATAGTAGCGTGGTTATCAACAATCACTTCAGTGCCACAGTCACACACCTTCGAATAAGAGAGTTGGGCATTTAACTCATGCAAGTTGTGTTATGACTGTGGTACAGCTTACAGGGGAGGAAATCCCGAAGTATTGCAAACCTTTGTCTGAAGTTTGACCCTCGAATACTAAAATCTGTTCATATTAGCAGAAGGTAACGTTAGATGAGAGCGTGTTGGGTGTGAAGCCAAATTTAACTCAAGCGAGTTGTGTCAAATTCTTAGAGGAACTACTGCCAGAAGTGATGCATGTCTCAGTCGTTGATCACTGCTACAAAAACATGAGCACGTATATGGCTCTGAAAAACCTTCGTCTGAAGGAGGACCCTTGAATTCCTAAACCTTTTCATGTTAGAAGAAGATAGTGTTGTTCGGTAACAGCTTTGGCATTATTTTAAACCTCATTAATAAAACGTATACGACAGACACATAATTCATTATATGTTGTTTTCATCCAAAGTGTGATTTTTAATGTGACATGTTAATATATATTTTCTATTCCACACCACAGACACCTTCTATACAGTCTTAGCCTACCTGGAGACTGCAAACCCCTGTCTTAACCCCTTCGTCATGGCTTTACATACGATGATATACGATCATGTACAATTAGAAATATGAATTGCTCTGTAACAGCTTTGGCAGTTTTATTTAAACCACATTAAATAAACGTATACGACCGACACACAGTTCGTCATATGATGTGACTTGTTAATATCTATTTTCTACTCCACAGATGGCATACAATAACCGTCTTCACAATCTTAGGCTACCTGTGGGTAATAAACCCCTGTGTTAACCCCTTCATATATGGTAAGTAACATAAGGGTTATTTTTTAACCAAATATTATCTAGTTTTTTGTCCTTAATCGCCAAAGGAATACACGCAGTTGAACTATATCTTTAGAGAAAATATATATTTTCAGTTAGGTTTTCGCCTGAAAAACATTTGGGAAATTCAATATTGTCTCCACAGTAACAAACAAGCATTTTTTTTCACTCTTACAAACTGCATTACGAAGATGTTTTTGGTTACAATAAGTATGGTAGTTACATTGGTTATTTATAAATTGTTGACAAAATTAATCTGTGTTTTGCATCTCCAAATTATTTTTTGAATTCTTTGTACTTTCAGCCATATTCAACTGCATTGGCAGACGGAGGGAAAAAACTTCTCCTGGACTGTAAACGTCAGAATAGTTACAATCCCAAACAATGACCGGAACGAAATGACGACCGATGTTTACATCTCAAATCTCTTTTCTCTTTGTGGAACTTCTTCTATAACCCTGATAAATATTCATTCCGATAGAACAATACCTACTGAAGCTTTGTACATACATGAGTATCTTTTTGTATCAATGAAGACGTTTGTGCTTCACAGAAAGCAGCCTCCAAAGATGTAACACCGCACACAATATCCCAGCCATATGTAAAAAATCGAGTCCTGACTAGATACTCCAATGAGCTACGATGTCAAGCTTCATCCAAGTCAGATTACCCGATCCCGTTTGTGATCTCTTACTGAATGGCTAACGGCCTATTCTAACACGGATTTGTACAAGCTTCGACGATATACTACTACAACTACAATACCCATATTCCCATGGAATGCTTAGTGTGTTAGATCCGTGAAGGTCCGGGTTCGAATGTTGATCTTCAGCAACCAATGCTTGTCGAAAGAGGCGACTAACGGGATCGGGTGGTCAGGCTCGCTGACTTGGTTGACACATGCCATCGGTTCCTAATTGCGCGTGCTGCGATCACTGGATTGTCTGGTCCAGACTCGATTATTTACAGACCGCCGCCATATAGCTGGAATATTGAGTGCGGCGTAAAACTAAACTCACTCACTTAGTGTGTTACGACACAAAAAATAATTTGTATTTGCATTGTGATAGAAACACCATTTCTTTTATGGCAACATGTTCGCCTCGAACAGATGTTCATATGTGTTTTTTTCACTTTTCCAATGACTATCTGTGCTGTGTGTTGATGAAAGATGGTGGAAATGTTGACAAGTGCATCCTGGGCAAACTTACACAAAATAAGGGCTACTTCTATGATATTTGCCCCACCTTTATATGCCCCATATGTGTAAGTTTTCTTGACGTATACATTACATGCCCCTCACTCGCAATGTTCTGTATACTGAACGACATGCTCTGTGTCAACATAGTATGATACCACGGTAACGTCTCCATGGAACATAAGACAAACGGTTGTATACATGTATAGTTACTACTTTCACTTTAACGTCTCTTACAGCCTTTCGTAGCAATAGATCTGCATACTCTCTGTTTCCTGGCCTGGATTACGTATATTTACGCTCTATCAAATCAATAAAACAATTAATTAATGAAATAGAATTATAGTTTCACTGCTGAAATAACATACAGCATACACGTCAGTTGTGACCACTTGTAGCGTACAGATCATGTCAAATCTGTTCATTGTATTCCTTTTCAGCTGGCCTTTCAATTAGATTTATGTTTGCATTGATAGCTATACATTCTTCAAAGTTTTGTCCTATTTTGTATTCATGATTACTTTTAGTCATGCAATCTTACAAAAGCTAATTTATTCTCCTTTTTTATTGTTTCAACTTCCCTCAGAAATAAACATACATAGTTGCACACTGCGTTTTCATATTTCACAGAATATCTTCTCCATGTTTGGAATATTGCTGAGTGTGGCGTAAAATAAAACTCACTCACCCATGTTTGATGGCCTATATAAGCGTCTAAATAATATACAATTTTGTGTTTGAAGACAACCAATTTTCGGTGCTTTTCTAGACTATCAGTTGATTACTATACTATACTCAAAGGTAACCTAACACCATGTGCACTAAACAACTCGAAAAACAAGCGTGTTTCTGTTAATGGTGGATTTTGAAGAACGAAACTGAAACTAGAAGCGCCAGTAATGCTGTAGAGTGAGTGAGTAGTGGTAGGGGATGGGCACTACTGACTGTGTGTTATTTTACTAAAGGAGAAGGAAATAGTGATAGTTCACATGTTTGGTGAAAACCACGTATATAGGTACTATGTCGAAAAAATCAATGATTATTAATCAGGGCTAATGATCCATCGAACAAAACGTTATAAAGAATACGCTAATGAGCTCAACGCAGGAAGCCCCATACTGGACTTAAATTGTTCCCAATTTTATTGAATATGAAAATACTTTTAATCTTCATGAATGACGAATATAATTGTATGACAATATATTATATACTCTCGTTTACATGTACATATAGAAGATGTACAAACCATATTCGAGTTGGTTCATTTCCGCAAACGAAGACACTCCCGATTGAATACACCACTTTTTAGGATAAACATTAACGCCTGTACTAAGCAGCGTGTTGCTGTGAAAACATGGGCGTCCAACATCAGTTCTTAATTCCCAGTCCTTGCATTGCCGACTTCCTTTACCTTGTCTTGATTTTGGTATCAATACTGCATGGGCAGCGACGTTCGCGTGGACTGTTCGGAATGTGGGTTGCACGATATGCATGTTCACGATGTCGTTTGGGGAAGACATGGCTCACTACTTGGAATCATTTAATGTCAACAACGCCGTCACCATATGCTGTTATAAGTCGTCGAATCCTGTTTGTTGTCTTCATCTTTGCTGCTCTGTGTGCATTTATCTCAGAGGTAAACACTGGAAAATGTTTCTGTTAAAGTGAACATTTCACTTTATGTTTGCAACGGCGTTAGAAACAAATAACTCCTGCTTGCTCAAACCATACATTTGGAGTTGTGGCTGTTTAGAGATCTACTCAGTTAAAGAAATATATAGCGGTTCATCATGTGCTGTATCAACCGTCTGGACGTTTAGATATTCATAATCCATTTGAAGTTATCCTCAAAGGGGGGTTACAGTACTGTAAAAATATTGTCCCCCCGAGAGGGTACGTAAGTCCAAAACCATTCGAAGTTAATTAAAACGTTCCACTTTTTAATCGTAGAATACGTGTCTTTTAATATACGGCTAGATCGCTGAATTGCTAACGGCTGAAGGGACGGTGTAAATCCAGCTAGGGCCCATGCAGGAAGCAATTGTACTGTAAGTCCCCATGGTACCTAGTATGGTTATCTACATTCAGTTGTTGGCAATATATAGCCTGTTTTTATATTGTATTGTCATGTATAGTTCAATATTTTAGATTTAATTACTAGTTTTAAAGTTATATCTGTGATAATCTAATTGTCTACTGTCCTGCATGTTATAATTCACTTTAAATTGTGAATATATTTACAACTTGATTTAGTCACAATATGGCTGAAATACTGCCGATGTGACTTTAAATCTTAACTCACTCACTCACTCACTCACCCTATTTGAAGTTTATATGAAAGGAGGGAGTTAATATTTAACGTCACATCGGTAATATATCAGCCATATCGTGACGAAAACAATTTATTCAATCAAAAAGTGAAAACCTTTTGATTAAAACCTGTCGACGATGAACAGTAAATATACTAGAGAATCACATATATGAATATAAAACTAGCGAGTAAAACTAAAAGAGTTTGATTAAATAAGACAATACAGTGTAAAACAGGGGTTACAGATCGCCAACAACTGAAGGTAGATCACAATGCTAGGAACCATGGGGACTTACATTACTTTTGCTACTTGCATGGACCGTAGCTGGATTTACACCATCCCTTCAGCCACTGGCGATTGTAGGAAAATTTATCCGACTACGTTTAACATACTACGTTTAAAAATGTGGTAAGTTTATTTTTTTACTTCGAAAGTTTAGGACTTACGTACCCTCTCAGGAGGACAATAATTTTACGATACTTTAACGTCATTTGAAAATTAACCGTGGTAAAAAGATCCTTAACTGTTTTCACATTGAAATATTTATCCCTTATGATGGAAAGTGTATATGGAGCAACAGAATTCGTTCTGAAGGACATTATGCACATGGAGGTGCTGTGTGTTATGTTGCAGAGCAAACCATGATGCAATAATGACGCTTTGAAATCTCAGTGGAAGGCGCGTGTGTGATGGAACTTCAACGTTGTGAAGCGTAGAGACCAAAAGCCGTCGGAATATTGCTCGATAAAAGGCAAAACTGCCTCTGTATATCAGTTGAGTAGTTTTGGAACAATGTTGTTATGTTATTTCTAGCTCTGATCAACGTTTGAACAAGGTTCATGGGGCGTCCTTTGAAATCTCTCTGAAAAAAACGTGTGCGATTGTACTGTTCCGTCCACAGGTAAGTGTTTATGACTCACTGTCATATAGTGATGACACCGACTGGTGATCGCGAACATGTCAGCTTGTCCTGACCCACCAGTCGCATCCGTCACAAACATATGTAAAAGGCACGGTACAAGAACATGCTTAGCAGGTCAAAATAGGGAGATCAACAAGCATACTTTTTGCCACTAATTAGTCAAATTGTTGATTTTCTCTTTTTATCATGCTCTACAGACGAAAGTAAACCCAGGTGCATAACTTACATGTTATAAGGTATCGTCACAAGAAAATCAGTGAATACCGGCTTCGATGCAACTAAACTGATGTCCTACACTCTCTTCCAACCGTGTAGCGGGCACGGATGGCTCATTTGCCCCTTGAGCATGCAAGATGCATCGCCACTGTGGTCAAATCCCCATTTATGCTTCTAGGTCTGTCAGCGAAATATCCCAGCTCCAGATTTCAGCAAATTGGTAAACGTCTGAGATCTGCATCAGGTTTAACTTTCCTGCGACATAATACTCATACGCCAATTCAAGAAAGCATTGAACCCAGTTCACTCTCTATATAATTCTATATTCTATTCTAGAAGCATGCGATGATAACCTTTCACACTGCAATGTAACTGTGTCGACGTCTTTGAAATGCCAAGCAAATAATTATTACCATGACCAACATTATGTCGTGTTTAACCCACCCAAGTATCCTGCCAACCTTAATGATCTACAATTACCTCTTGTATTTGTTAGTCATCCAGTTTGTTGAACACATTCCACACCAGAAGCCTTGAACGTGTATGAACTGCGTGACGGATATTCGTCTCGTGCTTAAACATGGATATGGAATTTGCCAACTCAAGTAACTACACATACGATTATGATTACGATAGTTTTATACAGACAACAACATACACGACGGAAATTGTGGTGAACAGCGTTCTACTGTACATTGGAGTCTGTACCAACATATGGATGATCTGGTCTCTCTACAAATCATGGAAGACAGGCAGCAGGATGCATTTCTATCTCCTTGCCATTTGTGTTGCTGACGTGCTGGGTTTGTGCATCCGATGCGGTGGCAA